GATGACTTCAAATCCCATCGGGATGCTTTGATAAGCTCTAAAAGTGGACACATTCAAGGAGCACACAACATAGTAACACCTCCCTACCGTCTACCCAATGTCCTCAGATTAGAAATGGCTGGATATTAGAACATCAGGCGGGCCGCACATGGACTGAAGTGGACGATCGTAAAAATAAAATCAAATAAAAATACAGTCGGCCATTCCCCATTACATACTAGCCGACTAACCCTCGCACGTGTCACCGACTCGCTGCTGATGCCAATATAAGTCTTGAATTCTAATTTTCGCAGCATTAATATGTTAAAGGGGGCGGGGGGTGACAAAAACATGAATACCTGCTCACACGGGTCAGTAAACTGTAGATAAAAGCACAGCCACCTCTGTTCTGAAGCTATATTTGAATGTGTGATTATCGACGAGGTGTTAGAGTAGCTGTTAGAACACGTACAAAGACTGGATATAATTTTTTTTTTTTTGAGGGGGGGGAGTGTTGGCATCAGCACTATTTTGTGTGACGCACATCCAATTAAGAAAGTTACTTTGACGATATACTGTGAATGTTCTAGAAATGTGACATCTATATTAAAAGAATACGGATGTAATCAATAGAATGATGTCATAATTAAGTGTTGTTTCGAATCTTCTCCTGTTTTCTGTTGAAATAACAAAACAAATATTTAAATTCATAGTGTGGAAATTCGTTGAGCCCAATACTGCCGAGTAATGACCTCCTCCTTATTCTGCTCAATGGAGGTTTTTCATACGCACATACGGACAAGGGCCAAGGCCTCTCGTCCTTTGTGGTGCGGCAGAGTAAGCGCACTAGCTGTGACTCTATGCACGGAGCTAAAGGCTAACGCTAAAACGGATGATTTGGAGGCTTCGCGGGTGCGGCTGTGGCTAAAGGAGGCAAATGCCCTTGAGCAAGACACAGAACAATGTCGTTATCGATGCCCCGCTTTGGTTGGCACTAAAGCATATATTTGGTGGGAAATTGTGCGGACTAGTGCTGTTACCAGAGATGAAAGTGGACTTTTCTGAAAATTCCGGAAAAAATGTCTTCAATGTTGTCAACTAATATCCAGATTCATTTTATGCAAATTTTCCTCAATTCTCCGGAGAAATGTTCATAAAAATTTGAAAAACCCGGAATTCCGGGAAAATCCGGAGGACTTTCATCTCTGTGTTACATTTACAACTTAATTATTTTGTATCTCACGAAGTCGGTCATTCACAGTATACTATATGGCGGTCAACTTTCCACATCCAACAGCACATCATGAATTTTCAACCAAATAAGTAAGACCCTCGGACGGTTCATCACCAAGCAAATCTTAAATGTTCTTGTCACACAATGTATGCCATCCACCCACCCGTGTTTTTTTCACAAGCCTGCATACAAGTTGACGAAGGATGCAAGGTAGCCTACGCCCAGGACCGATTGACCAAATCCCAATGTGCAATCCTACCGGACGTCAAAGTGGATGATGCCAGAACTTGGAGTCAGTTCCGATGAGGCATTTTGGCTTGTCTTGTGTCAGCCATCTTGTCAGTCAGGCCTAATGGCTCCTGTCAGTCAGGGATGTAACTGTCAGACTGAGTCAATGGCCTCACGTCTCCTTCGCATTATTGAATCGTGACTATCCGCACATTTAGCCCCGGTTTGCACACGAGCAACTGAACGACGGTATAGATCGACCTCAGCTGCGATTTCCAACGGAGGATGCAGCGGCAACATGGAGCCAGAACATCTTCCTTTCCATATGAACAAAGTAGAAGGTGGCGTGGGGGGTGGACAATGAAGACGTCTTCAGATGTGTCAACTCTGATAAAAGGCTGACTGAAGACAAGGGACAAGTGGACAGGAGAAGAGGAGGAGACGAGAGGTCGCGGAGGAGTGTGCATAATTCATCCCTGCTGACACATCACAACCTGTGATTCATCTGGAGAAGGGCATCAAGTCAAGTCGCCATGCCGACGTCTCCTAGCCTTCACTCTTGTGCACACCAGCGCACCTGCACACACACACGCAACCGTAATGGCAAACGGCCAACTGGTTTAAAAATGGATGTGCGTGTGTCTGGAGACCTTCGACAAGGTCTCATACTTGTGCAGCTACTTTGGCTGTACACTCACTGACCTCAACAATATAGGCACGCCAGCACAATCTTGAAAAGGTCCGACGCTAAATGATGTCGTTTGACACTGTCAGAGATGTATTCATGTAACAATAAATGTATTATTGTTGTTTTTTTGTTTTTCATTTGTTCTTTAATTCGAATCATGTTTTCGTTACACCCGTAATAATTAGTGATGCGATAATACTCAAATCAGTATCAGTACTTATAAAACGCCAATACCGTATGCACCGATACCAACGTCACCAGCCTGACACACACGTTCCGCGGAAGAGTCTTGCAACCATGTGTCTGGAGATACTTTAAAGACATGTTATGCAACACTTAGGCAAATGCAAATTATGCTGTGAAAATTGGAAGATGAACTCCTTTGTAGGCTCTAGAGGTGGCCACCTTGTGAGTTTTGGTGGCGGTCGCCAGCGGCAACCGGTAAGCACCAGGTTCTGCAAGTCCTTTCATTGCCCAACAGTGTTTCTTTCAAGGTATAGAATAGTTAATTACCGTGTTTTCCGCACTGAGGCGCTTCCGAGTATAAGGCGCACCTTCAATGAATGGCCTATTTCAAAACGGTTTTCATATTTAGGGCGCATCGCGTTATAAGACGCATTGAATTGATGCTACAGTAGTGGCTGCTGTTGTGTTATGCATCCACCAGATGGAGCTACGCTGAAGGAAATACAATACAATACAGCTTTATTTATAGAGAGCCCTGGCTGCCGTTGCGTTATGCATCCACGCGTCATGGCCTTATCACGTATGTATCGTCTCTCGATTCAAAATCACCCATTTTGTGCCATCTCCAAGTACATCATATTGTGTGAAGATAGAATTCTAAATTTCACTCTTATATTCAGTCTCGCTGGATTGCGTAATTGCACCTAATGAAGTGTATAAACGCCTAATTGCTTATTATTAGCATAATTTCTGCAATATCGTTTCCAGAGGTGTTCTCATGTTGCTGATTATTCATTTTAGTTTGGGGTTTTTTTTTTTTTTTTTTGGATGACATGAATGAACAGACAACGGAGTGTTTTAGGGGTGGCGTCTAGATATAAATTCATGCATACTGTGGCAGTATAACGGAGTGCATCCTGATTACGGTTGCCATACGCACTTTTCTTATTATATTATCAATCAGCGCTATACTGCTCAGCCATGTCGGGTAAGTTCTAAATGCCACGTGCGATGTTTGAGCCGAGCTCACAAAAACATGCTCTTTGAAATACCCCGCAAAGGTCAATTCATCTCGGGGTGTCGACAACAACCAACTCGTTGTCTTCCTTGTTTTATATAGGTGACTTTGCTCATCAAATTTGCCTTGATGTTCTCCTTTCTTCAGGCCAACACGTGCACGGAGGCTATGACAAAACGCGAGGATGGGCACCACGTTGTGAGCCAAAGGAAGAAAGCGAGCCAGGCGATACTGTGAGAACGTGGGAATAAGACTTCAATGAAGGCCTTTGACGAGCAACCAAAGCGGCTCCGCTGGGAGGGCGTCTCATTTGGCATATTCAAGATAGGACGGCTTTTGCAGTGCGGTATACGCTTTAGAGAGAGGCAGGAAACCATTGAGACCCACAGTTGAACCCTCTGAAATGCTATTTGAGGGAATTCACGCCATGAGTGATTTCATTGTGCTCCTTGCACAGCCAAAGTGAATATCTACCAAGCCGTGGATTTCTGAGCTCTTTGAGGAGACGACGACGACTAAAGAATTCATTTACTTTCTGCACAATGACCTATTCCTGTCTGACAAATGCAAAAAAAAAATAAAATAAATTAAAATCCACATCTCAGTCTCTCTCATTAAGGTGAAGACGGTCGTCAGTGGAGGAGGGAGGAGATAAACACGCTAAAGAAGGGAATTCATGCATGAGGAATGACTGATTAAAATAATTAGGGATGTGGAAATGGTGTGGAACAATAACCAGCAAACACATTGTGCCTCGGGGAAAATGTCCCATCTGTGTGTGTGTGTGTGTGTGTGTGTGTGTGTGTGTGTGTGTGTGTGTGTGTGTGTGTGTGTGTGTGTGTGTGTCGGAAAAGACTCCCTGGGTTTCACCGAGACAACTTGAGATTTGGGCGTACACATGCGAGGAAGACCACAGAAAACCCAAACAGGCACACTGTAGAAATGTACTTATTAAAACCCTAAAAAACAAGCATCAGCAGTGGGGAAATGTGCATGAGTAAATCAATGTATAATTAAACGACGCTCAGGAGCCTGCGCGTGTGTGTGCGTGGGTGTGTGTGTGTGTTAGCAAAAAAAACCCCAACTGTGTGTAATTATAGACCTACACGAGTACACCGGTATCATATATGCAGGTGCGCTTTATTTTATGCACAGGCTGACAGCAGCAGATGCAGCCGCTAGTCTATTGTCTAGAAAACAGTCTGCTTAAATAAGTCCTTCCACTTTACCACCTGGTGCCACACACACACACACACACACACACACACACACACACACACACACACACACAATCTATAATTTCCCAGCAAAATCTGTTTAAGGAACCATAGCTCTCATGGAACGCTCCTAAGTGATGAATGTCTTGCAGGCGGTTGAAATTAGAGTGAGGGATAAACAAAGGATGTTCCTGTGTGCATGGGTCTCTCATGCAGCCCAGCCAACAATAAGCACGGGGGGTGGGGGTATGAGGAGGCGGTGGGGTGGGGGGTGTGTGGATGCAAGGCACTCTCTCCTCAGTGCTGTTGCCAACCAGCCTGAACACAAGTCACAATAAATGGGCAGACATCCCGCGCATCCCTCCCGATTATTAAAGCAGAAAGAAAAAAAACAAAAAAATCACTCACCCCCACGAATAAAGCTCCGCGGTGGGATGCTGCGTGGCTTACCTTGGTCGCAAGTGCACCGTCTCCTGCGCCGTCTGCAAGATGCATGGGTGGATTTACAACTAGAAGAAGCTTCCTCGGATGGTGCTGTAATCCAGTGGCAGGCCGGCTCCGATCAGAAAGGAGGGTCTGCCTTATACAGGGGGGTGCATGTCACGCGGGACCGCCGTCCCGCGGCTCCTCGACGTCTTTTAGGGGGGGGGGGGCAGAGATGGTCGCTCGGTTGGTCGGGCGGCTTCAGGTAGTGAAGCTTTATGTCATTGGGAGCCACTGTCTTCTGCCTTAATGTCCTCCTCCTTTTCTCTCCTCCTCCACCCCCCCTCCCAGCTCTCTCCTTCCTCTCTCTCATGCACACACCGAAGCTCTTCCCCACCACCACCCTCCCCCCCGACGTATGACG